TAATGTATCTACTAATTAATATCCGTTACGTACTTTACAATCACTGTCGATTAATTATCCGTCCACTGAAAAATCACTCGAAGAAAGAAACACGCGACAATTTACTGACACACGAGGCGTTCACTCGACAATAGCAAGCAGTCGACGCAGTCGACTGACTTCAACTAATCACATGTCGCGTTTCGACTGCAGCGCTGCAAACATAACCATAAAATAAAATCAGTCGACTGCTTGCTATCGTCGAGTGAACGCTTCGTGTGTCAGTAAATTGTCGTGTGTTAGTAAATAGTGCGCATGTTTCTTTCCTCGAGTGAGTTTTCAATTGACAAATAAATAATCGACATTGATTGATAATTATTAGCTACTTAATACATTCGGTATTAAAGTCAGTTGATTGCTTGCTATTGTCGAGTAAACGCCTCGTTTGTCAGTAAATTGTCGCGTGTTTCTTTCTTCAAGTGATTTTTCAGTCGACGAATAATTAATCGACACGGATTAATAATAATTAAGTAATAAATTTGATATTAAAATCAGTCGATTGCTTGCTATCGTCGAGTGAACGGGTCGTGTGTTTCTTTCTTCGAGTGATTTTTCAGTGGACGGATAATTAATCGACAGTGATTGTAAAGTACGTAACGGATATTAATTAGTAGATACGTTAATAGATTTCTTCAAATGAATAGTTTGTATGTGAATCGAGTGTAAAATGTTGAAGTGACACGGTTTGTAAAAAAAAGAATTAACTAATTAATTATTTAATCTGTGTCAGTCAGTGGATAACTTGTAACGTTTACATTAAAACTATCGAAAATTTAATAAAATAAACACTCATTACGTGGAAATCACATCGAAATGAGAATTCATCTATCTTTTTCGAGAAGCTACAGAAGTCGACAAATCTTTAAAAGGTAAGGTTTTGTGCGTGCGTGTGTGTGAAAAAGAGAGAGAGAGAAAATGTAAACGCATGTTTATGCGCGCGTGTATAGTCAGCTGATCGTCGCGAGGGTCTCGCGTACCGCCTGCCGTCGGACAGTAAGTTGCGCCGCCCCTGTCTACCTTCCGACTTCCGTACGCGGCCCGTAATTCGTTAACTATTTCTCTTTATAACTTGAACACTAAGCTCCGCACAAATTTTTGCCAAAGGAAAAATCGTCTCAGAATGTGGTCAGAAATACGTGTGTTTAAGGACAATATACTTATTCTGAATCACCCTGTATACCCAGTGAGAAATGGTTTTCAATTCGAATCGATGTTGAATTGATGTCGAAATCATCATATTGAATTGTTGATCATTTCTCACTGGGGAGAACA